CTAATAAAATTACTGTACATGTGCGTATGAGGCGCGAGTCTCTGGGCGCAAGTTGTCAAAGACAGATCTTTCTATACCGAAATTCCTTCCCTTTCCTCCCTTTTTCTTTAGTTTTTACGTGCTGTCATTTTCGATCATGTTCTTAATAGATGTTCTGTTACAGTAAAACTGTTAATTTGTCGATATTGTGCACATTGAAACCAAAGGAACGAGTTAGGATTCTATCTAGTTGGATATTTTGCTTCCAATAATTTACATTCATACTGCATGTAAACAGATATTGCATAAAGTCCTGATCAAACTATATAGAATGAGACTTGTTGAGGGTTGACAACCGAGAGTTTACATGAAGGTTTTTTCAACTCTCATGCCCCCCGGTCAAACGAGAACAAGAGTTGCATGCGAGTTGATGAGACTGATATTATAATAAACAGTCGTGGGATGAGGTTTTTGTGGTATCCAGAATTATCAGGGTCGTGGTAAGCGTTATCAGTCGAGCCGAACGCGAGATTGGGTATTTTAGGTATACTTTAGGTTTTTCATATTATAGTAAGTACATTTCTGTATGTCGGCGGCGTTAAAATATCTTGTAGGCTTTTGCCGACACGTTTTTCTCCGAATTTTGTATTAAACTGGCTATTACGGTTAAAAATGTAAAATTTCAGATACATTTCTAATACAAATGACTTGCATCAATAGAAAGCTAACAAAAAACTACATATAACTACTTTATAATTAAAATATTGTTTTGTTGTTTTGTTGTGGATAAACGATCCACTAAAAGTAATTTATACCTGTTGTTAAATTTAATATTAAGTTAATATGAAAAACCTAAAGTATACCTAAAATACGATAATAGTTGTGTTTGTTTTTGATAATCGTATTACATTAGCGATATATAAGTTCTTTTTGGGAAAATTTCTGTGCTTTGGCTTTTTTCTATTGAAAATTTGACAATTTAATATTGCACTCGTTGACATACTTCAAAAGTCGGGGCTTAACTCGAGCAACAACTTTTTTGTCAAACTTCGAGTTAAGCCCCGGGGCTTAACTCGAATAACCCAAATCGTGTCTCGTTCTTCGAGTTAAGCCCTTTTTGAAAAAGGGCGTGGTCATGGCAAAACAGGGCGTGGTCGGGGCTTAACTCGAAAAGGGCTTAACTCGAGGGGCTTAACTCGAAGGGCTTAACTCGAAGATTCCCGACCTCTATTAAGTTACACATCAGGGGCATAGAATATTATACAGAAGTCGATCTCCATTGTTTTTTTACGTAAGCGCTATTCGTCATGATTCGTCACTCAGCAAGTACCGTAAACAGAAGCAGTCACCCCCCTGGACGTGTGCCATTTGGAATATTTCCAGGCGGAATGGTTCTGTTAAGGGTACTTGCTGAGTGACGAATCATGACGCAAAAAACAATGGAGACGGACTTCTATATATATTCTGTGTCAGGTACCGATTGTTCAAAAGCTGATTAGCTTAACCCTAGGTTAACTTAAAATTCAAAGCAAACCTCCTGGCAGCTTGTCTATAAATTTGGAAATGTTTCTTCTGAAATCCTGTCTTGATCGATAGGATTTCACTTTCCTGACGTTTTGAGATAAACACTGAGACGTACAGAAATACACAAACCTGAACAGCGGGTTGAAATAGACGTATATATAAACAGACGTACAGAAATACACAAACATTTGAACGACTGCTCCCTGGTTGCTGCCGCAGCGAGCGAGCCTGTAGGGAGAGAGCAAGGCAGCAGATCCTAATTTTGTTTTGTGGGTCGAAATCAAAATTTTCTATTTGGCGCATTGCATGACGGTACCAGCAGTGGCGGCGCCAGGCTTCCAAATTTGGGGGGGGGGGGCATTTGAGGGGCAAACTCAAATTTTGGGGGGCAAGATAGAATTTTTAAAAAGGTCGCCCCCCCCAGGAAATTCGCCCCCCCCTCAAAACGTGGCGATATTCCTAGGAATATCGCCCCCGGGGGCGAATATCCTAGGAATATCGCCTCCCAGGGGGGTGGGGCGAATACCCTAGGAATATCGCCCCTCTTTAGGACATTCGCCCCCCTTATATGCGATGTGGTTTATTCAAATAATTTCGTGATACTTTCATCTTATTATTGCCTTACACGTTTGAGAATTTAACTCTGCAAAACTAAAGCTTTTTTGTCTTTTTTTGAAACGTATTATTGGAGTATTGGCAAGTTTTACCATTCAGAGATTTACAAACTAATATTGAAACTGTAAAAAACAGTTTCATGTATACGTGCATTCACTAATGAGTAATGACAATTTATAAGCCATACATTTTCCGATAACGACAGAACGTTGTGTAGCCTTTAGTCGCTCTTAGTGACTAATAATTTTTTTTGAGGGGGGGCAAAATGGGGGGGCAAAAAATAATTTTGGGGGGCATCTGCCCCCCTTGCCCCCCCTGGCGCCGCCACTGGGTACCAGTGAATTTTGACCGTGGTTCTGCGCGGTCAGACATATAAGGCAAACAGGCAATGTGATCATCTTTCATCTTTGGTCTTCTTTTATTGAAAGCCATAGCTGGCTTAAAGTTATCAAACGGCATTTTGTTGGGTGCATTATACGGCGGTGCTTTCGCCATTATACGCGGTGGTTCCAGCATTTTTCATTATACGCGGTGCTTTCGCCATTATACGCGGTGCTTTCACCATTTATATGCGCGGCGCTTTTGCAACTATACGCAGTGGTTCGAGCATTAATACGAGGTGCTTTTAACATTAACGCGGTGCTTTCACTCATTCAACATTATTTCCACATTCTTTCCATGATATGTATATGATTTAACAATTGCTAAATTAATAAATTTGGCCTGCAATGACAATGACATGCTTTAAAAAGGTTTATTTATGCACTTTGTGTGTTCTATATATATTATCATATAGTGTTGATTTATTGGTAATAAATCTGTGTATATATAAATGAATATGACGCAGAGAATGCGCCAAGCGGTATAAACGCGGCTGAAATACGATATTAAGATCTTGAATCTGCCGTATGATTTAATTATGTTTTAGGATTTACAAATGCCTTGTCATTTGTATTTAAAGTTGTACTGCATCACAAGGCAGTACGTAAGTGAACAAATTCCACATGTGAGGTTGTTTCGTATATATTTTTCCCTACTAATTGGCCGTTTTTGAAAATGTTGATGTATAAATTATGGATGATTCCAATTCATTACAAACATTTCTTATTCTTCTTCTTTAAAATACCAAAGATTTGGGAACAATGCTATACCAATTGACGACTTGCGTAATAGACTAAATTTTGATCTCAACAAAAAGTTCATCACAGTTTGAAAGAGCATCACAAAGTTAGTAATATTCCAAAGTTTCGTTGCGAAATGTTGTAAAATGCAGAACTGAATATAGCCTTGCGAAGTTTGCAATTTTCAGTCATTTTAGATTACAAACGGGAAACTTTTCCATGTCATATAGTTCACTGCGTCGGACAGCCAATCAGGCGAATATGCAAATTAGGTAAATCCATCAATTAAGCATGTGTGACATAGGCATTGGTGCCAAAAAATGAAAGTTTCAACAGCTATTTAAAGGACTTAAATTTAAGTAAATTTTCTGATATTTGGACCATTGATACAACAAATAACAAATTTCTCGTCCATGAACTCAAAGGCGTTTTAAACTTTTAAATTTTGCAAGCTATTTTTAATCCTGCTAAAAAAGACACCCGCTCCCCCTCTGGAAAATTTATCTTTCCAAAAATTGTTTGTTTATTCTACATTGTAAGTACCCAAACAATCTATATTTATCAAATAGTTTATGAAATGAACGTATTTGTGGAGTCAGTCAAGATGATGATAATAATTTATGAATCTTGGGTAAAATTACATTTGATTTGTGTTGATACGACATGTGAAAGATAAAAAAACTGTGAAGATACCATAATTGTTACGTAATTGCATCAACGCAACCAGAATCAAAATATTTAATAAGCATCGGAGTTTTATAACAAGTATTGTTATATAGCTATAGCGTGAACGCCAAACGTGATTGGCTGATTTGTGGTCACGTGACTTCAGATAAATGCAATGTTTCCCACCGGGCAACAAGTGAAAAATTGTTGCCCGCCCCGACCGGCCACGTACATAAATAAACAAAATGGAGGCACAACTCAGATAATTAGAAACTACCATTTTCCAAGTTTGTGTTCAAATAAAGAATATAAAAGAGAAGAAAAATACACAACAGGCAACAGAATATACTGCTGAAACCGTTTAAGTAGGTTCTTTTAATTTTAAACTCGTTTACACTATAGAATTTTTGTCACGAAATACAATTGTTGTATTAATGTTGTTGAAGTTGATTTTTGTTCGTCGCTATACAGTATAACAAAACACTTAATGCCTGTTCCCTCGGGAAATAGTTAGTTTTGTTTACCCTCGAATCTTAATGTTTCCCTCGTCTTCGTCTCGGGAAACATTGAGATTCTCGGGAAAACAAAACTAACTATTTCCGTCGGGAGCGGACATTAAGTGTATAATATTAAACATTTATTCACAGCTCTACAGTACAACTCTAAAAGTAAAGTGTAAAGTATAGCATGCAACAATTGTTCTGTAGAATATCCAAACAAAGCCAAAGGCCAAAGGCCGGAAGTACAGTCTGTTACTGCAGTTTTAAACATGCATGAAGAAATGCATTTACAGTTCTAACGATCTTTTGCACTGTTTCCTTTCGTTTTTTTTACTGTTTCTCAAGCACTTTCTAGTGCGAGCAGTCTTGCGGCTTATGTGAGAAGAACGCCAACCCTTTCTTACAGATGCTTTTGACAGTAAACTTTGTCAAACTCGTCACCCTGTGGCCTTAAATTCCTTGTATATAGTTTTATTGTGTCATTATAACACTAGTATGGGTTCCCTAGTATAAAAACACCCGTGCCCATGCAACTATAGCATCAAGACTAAGCCAGTTAGCTCAAAATGTCAAATTTTCTTTTTCCAATTTTCAGGTAAAGCCAACCTTTTTATTCTTCGCTATTAACATTGGTATCCACCGATAAAGGTAAAAGATATGGATCATAAAAATACATATCAGTCACGTTTGAGGAATAGTGGATTTGCGTTGGCTTTCTGTTGACCCAACATGTATTTTCATGCGTTTTTCTAATACTTTCCAAAGCAAAAATATATAGAAAAGAACTGTTATTAATATGGAAAATTCAAGAAAAGAAAACTTGTACTGTTCGATAGTCTAAACATTGTCAATAATCTACAATTGAGAGTGACTGAGTCCTGAGGTGAGATGCATGTGATATTCGAGGTGATAATATTTGTTCTGCATGAATATAGGCATGAATATTTATAAACTCATGTTACACGCAAGTATTACACACATAAACATGTTATCAACCAGAGCACCACTTTCCACGATATCGGATAATTTAATGTTTTTAATTCTAATCATCATTCAAATTTAAAACGAAACTGTAAGCCATAACTTAAGCGTAGAAAATATTTAAATTTGTTATATCGAAGTATAAATGTCCATGGATACTTTTGCTACAACTATTACTGTATTACTGGGCGCAATGCGACTCAATGGGTTAACTAGACATGCACATTGGTAGATAGGCTAGTTAACCCATTAAGTGCCAGTGCTCTCCCTTTGACGAATACAATCATCTGGCATTAAACAAAGTAAAATAATAAAGTAGGGCGCAATGCGATTCAATGGGTTAAATCGCTATAGGCTTTTATTAAAAAACATTACGGTATTTAAGTTGTTATATGTTTTAATGTTTATTCAGCTCAGTTACTGAGCTGAATAAACATTAAAACTGAGTTATGGCTGTAACCTAGATGTGTATTGATTGCTGAGCTAAATTAAAATGTATACATACTATTTAATAACACATACTCTACTAATGATATTTCCAGTTTTTGTTGGAATATTTGTTGTGATGCAATTAATGATAATAACTCATATTTTGCACATTCACATAGCATGTTCGAAAAGTTATTCCAGTCGGAAACTACGAGTAGAAATGGATTTAACTTTAACTCACTTAATAATGAAATTTAATCATGGACAGCAGGTCTGCAAACAAGTTAAAAACGTATGAAGTACGCATTTGTAGGTAGGCAGCTGTTCAAACGATCATGCATGTTTGAAAAACAAGCATTTCAGATGGCTATAGTACATTTTACTGTAATATAGACAGCCATAAATGCTCCATGCAAATATTTTCTTTCATTTTCTTTAAAACTTTGTGATAATTCCCTGTATGTTTCAAGAAAAACACAAGCGCCATTTTTTAACACAATGCCGGATTTTTATCCCGCATTTGGAGACAAAAAGATATTCTGTCAACTTTAGTGCTCATTTTATACTACCGAACTATTATATAACTATACAAGTTTTAGTACAGTATTTATCGGGGGATGAGGAGCTCAAAAATTTCACATTGGTCATTGTCGTGGTTAAATTTTAAAACATTCTGCGTAATCACATACGTTTGTTGTCCCAGATTAATTTGCAGGGCTTTCAGCCCTGTGATTCCAGTGCAGCGCTTTAACCAACTGAGCTATACAGAGGTCAGTTGTCGAGTTGTAACCACAAGTTTATGCATATATACTAGGGTACTGCCATGTATATGTTGTGGTAAATATCAAGATTTTGTTGGCATCTCACTCGATTTAACAATTAGTTGCCGAAGGCTAGGTGACTAGAAGCCTATCTGTATTCATTCAGCCGAAGGCGAAGTGAGTATAAGCTTCTAATCACCGAGCCTGAGGCGACTAATTGTTTAGTATAATTTCAGTATTGAAAAAGTTTTATTTATAAATATACGTGTTTATTTTGTGAATATAATTTGTATAAATAATTTACTTTCGTTTGATTTTCAGCCACTTTTTTGGGAAAAGCAATAGTTACTGCTCAGAGCACTCTGAGAATTAGAATGCCAAAATGCCATTTTTTAATACTGCAATTATGCTAATGAATATTAGTTGAAGGGTATTGAAGATGAAAATTATTATCTTCTCGATAATTTCCATCTACAATACCGGTCAATACCGTAAAATTCAAACAAGAACAAAATATATTTTCTGCATTTGCGGTTTGAATTAAAGACATTAAATTTATCTGGAAAGTTGTAGTTGAAAGGGAAGCTGTAATTGATCATATAATGAAAATCACGACTCCCCTCGGTGCTCCGAAATTGTTGATTACTGTATGCACACAGTTCTCTCTTCTCGAATAGTTATTTTCTTCATTTTTGCTTTCGAAAATATTAGATAAATACACGAAAATACACATCAAGCACTCGGTCATGAACTACTGTAGCTAATCATATAGAGCGTATATAAATTACTCAAATATGATTGGCTCAAATATGATAGGGGGGGGGCACTGTTTCTTAATTCAGGGCAAAATTACTTGTACCTGATGTTTGTGATGTTACTATGAGTGTATATCCACACCGGGCAAGCTTGAAAAATATGCCTGACTACGGTGGGAATCGAACCTACGACCTTTGGAATACTAGCCCAATGCTCTGCCAACTGAGCTACGCGGTCTGGTTGGTTCGAGTATGTGATATTTCGGAACAGAATCTAGTTCCTTCGATATCAATGTAATCTAACAATCATGATTTTTTCTCTGTTGGTGTAATGTACTCAGGTGAATATGATGCTTGTGACGTTACTCCGAGTGTATATCCACACCGGGCGAGCTTGAAAAATATGCCTGACCACGGTGGGAATCGAACCTACGGCCTTTGGAATACTAGCCCAATGCTCTGCCAACTGAGCTACGCGGTCTGGTCGGTCCGAGTATGTGATATTTCGGAACAGAATCTAGTTCCTTCGATATCAATGTAATCTAACCATCATGATTTTTTCTGTGTTGGTGTAATGTACTCAGGTGAATATGATGCTTGTGATGTTACCCTGAGTGTATATCCACACCGGGCAAGCTTGAAAAGTTCGACTCCCACCGTGGTCAGGCATATTTTTCAAGCTTGCCCGGTGTGGATATACACTCAGAGTAACGTCACAAGCATCATATTCACCTGAGTACATTACACCAACACGGAAAGAATCATGATTGTTAGATTACATTGATATCGAAGGAACTAGATTCTGTTCCGAAATATCACATACTCGAACCGACCAGACCGCGTAGCTCAGTTGGCAGAGCATTGGGCTAGTATTCCAAAGGTCGTAGGTTCGATTCCCAGCGTGGTCAGGCATATTTTTCAAGCTTGTCCGGTGTGGATATACACTCAGAGTAACATCACAAGCATCATATTCACCTGAGTACATTACACCAACACAGAAAGAATCTTACTTGTACCTGATTGGCTGAGACGCTAGTGTGGGAAGTTTCTTGTTTCAAATAGCTATAAAAACCATGGCTTCTCGCTTTGTCGGCGTGGTTGGAGTGTTTAAGAAATTGGCAGGCAGGGCAGCATTAAGAA